ATGAAAAATGTCATGACATTTTTTTTGGAAAAGAACAACTCACGGAACATACCGGTGGAAACTAATGCGTCATTCCCGAATTCCAAACCATGCTAGATTCAGTTGTGATCATTAAAAAACTGCGCTACATTGTTATCCTCGACTTACTCCGACTTGAATAAAAGGATGAAGACTGGAGGACGAAAAGATAAGAATATATGCGTGATGGACAAATTACTGATGACTGACACTCCGCTCATGAGACGGGCAAGCATCACCTTTCCTCTCTCATTAGCACTTGAAGAAAAGATGAATGTCTCCAAGCTTTTGACTACGCCAAGAGAAGCTATTTGGTGCTCGAAAAATGTCACAAAGCCGTTATAGGCGCTGTAGTTCCTGCTGAGATCAAAGAACGGAGAGAATGTAGAACGTCAACGTACTTTTCATTCCCAAGGTACTGCGTCCAATTATCCTCGGTGATTTTCATTTCCTTGTCCTTCTCTTCGAGAATAATCGGACGCTGTATGCGTGCTTCTTCATCGTAGATTTTTTGCAAAAGTCCAGGAGATGCACCCAGATCATAAGCCGCAAGAATGCTGTCGGAACTTCATGAGCATGCGGCATACATTGACAATATAGGATATGAAACTCACTGATGACTCAAGTGGTTGTGGAATCCAGCTTGATTGAACTGACAATGATGATCCTGGGCATCGCGTAATAGCAGAGCCTCAGTTAAAGGCTTGGACGCAGGAGAAGCCCTGGGCAGATTGAGGACGCCATTACGAAGCAGACGGTGAGAGACAGAAACAGGAGACATAAGTTGTTACTAGTTGTTGGTGTGGGTATGGAGTTGAGCATCTTGGGCAAGTTATAAATGTGAGTACAGAAACGAAGGGAACTGGTGACCAATTGTGTCGTCGGAAGAATGGAAAAAAGTCGTCGAAATTACGTGATTTGATACTGTCATCGAATAGAGACTAAGCTACATAGTTGCTCGGAATGGAGGTGGAGGCATACGCGTACACTAGAATCGAATTGAAGAATTGAGTAACAGGTGTTTACAACCCAAGACTCTATTAGACCAGCAAAACTAGGCGGGGTGCAGTACTATAACTTCAACCAGCAGCTATGACTCAGACGGATGTGGCCGCATAACAGATGTATATAACCCTATGATCTACTATCAAATTATGAACCACTGACATCTTATGAGCCACAATTTAGAAGGACTCTCACTGACTCTCGCCTGTAGCAATACAGGCTGGCCCAGGGTTGGTTACTGGTTCGCCGATGGCTTCAAACAGAAGAAACGAGAAGACTACGAACTACATTGAACTTTCATTGAACCAGGTCAACTGAACACTATGACCCTTCAGTTTGCCTCCCCTTAGCTCCCCCCGGGCCCTTGGCTCTCTCCTTCTGCTTCTGTTCATGATTATGAACAGAGGCTATGAACTCTTTGTTGATCTGAGCCGCGGTGGTGTATGGCTTTCCCCGAGAATCAAGAAGTGCCTTTTCTCTCACTAAGAGCTCTAAAACCTGCCCTATGAGATCCAACTCTGTATCAGCCTTTAGAGTCCACATCTGCTGAATAGTCGAGGGATCCTTGAGTTTGGCAACGACGTTTAATGGGAACCATACGCCTTCGAGCAATTCAGGATTTTCGACTTTTGCTGCCTCCACGACATGTTTGTATGAATTCATCTTGGCTTCCAGGGCAAGCGATTCACCAAAGAACATCACCCAAGCATTCTCTGTACGCATGACTTTGATTTCCAAGTGATCTATAGGCGGTAGTGTGAGCACTCCGAGGGGTAGGTATATTTTGAATGGAGAAAGGTACTTGCAGGTGGAAACACCCCCAGCGACTTCATCTCACTGTAAAGTGCGCTCCACTTTTCCAACTTATCTTTCAGTTGTTTTTCATTCCCGTTGGCATCCTTTTCCCAAACTAACCCCTTTTTCAGAAGAAAACGTACGGCGGAGTCGAGAGCTTCCAGATTTGTTTTGACATCTCCGATCGAGTCGCTCATTTCATTCAAAGTCGTTGCTATACTGTTTTCGTCCGTGAAGTTGGCGTGTGCTCTCAAATAACCTTTGGATTCACGATTAAAACGAAGTCGTCTAGGTCCAGAATTTTTGATCAGGCGGGGTATAAGCTCGACTTTATCGTCTATGAAGGAGAGGTATGTATCGAAGACATATCTTGAACCGACTTGGAGCCTCCATACTTCATCTGCTTTAAGGGGACCCGGACCCACTCTTTTCTTACTCCTGTATGAACGCTGAATCGATAGTGGTTGGCAATTGGGCATGAAGCCTGATATACGTCGTTCAAGCTGCCCTGTATGAGCTTCGAGCGTCATAGGAATTGCCGTCACTACAGAAAGAATCGATGACAGGAAAAGCATGGACAGCACGCGCGCAAATGAGAATAGAAGCATGATTTGGTTTTGTGGTTACGAATCGTGCGTCGATCCAGTATTTTCGATGTTGAGCTTGAGTACGTCTGCGAAGATTTCAGCTCAAAGTTAACGAACGGGCCCGTAATAAAAACTACCGCACGTTAGTATGCGAACGTTGTAAACCTACACATATATTTTCATTAGATTTTCATTGTAGCCACGATATCCAGATTACTTAGGGACGTACCAGAGACGAACGAGTTGAAGTGGTATTCGACCAGCGAATATACCCTGTCAATCTGGCGCCAGGTTCGAGTCTAAAGCTGTTTAAAGCAAAGGGCAAAGGAAAAAAAGTTGTGAGCACTGAGGAAATATACATGTCATCAGCCTATCACGTTGCTATCACGCTTTCCGGACCCGGACATGACTCGCCTTGAACCCAAACCACGACAACGCGTTGAGTCCTATTGAGCCCACCACTACTACCAGGACGCGCTTATTGATTGCATAATGTGAGTTATACGCAACATCTATTGCATGCACAGAACGATATGTAGATCGTCACCAAATTCAAGTGCTAATATTCCTTTTGAACGCAGGTTCCACTATCAGGATTGAATCTTACTCTTAAACCTAGCCATACCCTTCTCGCAGCCATCCCTGTATAACGGCGATCAGAACCGCAATTTTCTTCAATCAATGACTTCAATGTCCAAATCTATGCCTGGTCGCCACTCGATTATTCGTATACCCAACATCGCTGACCACTTTCACACAAATGAACCGCCAGATGATGTCGACGTTCAAATCTTCTCAAACACTCTCAGATCCGCTCAAGACCGAGAACCATTTTTGCTGGAGGATATTCGATACCTAAAGACCGCACTTGATCATCACATCGAGGAGTTGTCGCGAGTCCAACAGACTATACGCGAATACAAGTTTGTCCTATCACCCGTTCGTCGGCTGCCTGGTGAACTTCTCATGGAGATATTCTTTCAAGTGTTAGGCAGCGAAGACCCTGAGGACGTTCTGGACTTTGACCGTGGATTATGGCCCCTTACACATGTTTGCGGTAATTGGAGGACCCTCATCCTCAATCGTACCTCTTTTTGGACCACGGTTTCTCTACCCGGGCGGATGCACTACCCACCTTACGCTGTACACATCCTCTCTCTCTTTCTTGAGCGTTCTGGCTCTAGACCAATCTTTGTCGAGTTCACCTGTCGAGACGTTGCGAGCCTGCCTCAGACGTTGTTCGCCGTCCTTGTCGCTCAATCCAGTCGTTGGGAAACATGTCGACTGAGAATCCCTGTCTTCTTAACCACTCATCTATCCTCGCGATCCATTGAACGCGCTCACCTTTTACGCCATCTCGATCTCAATATGGATTTAGCTTATTCTTCTAGTCTCACAACAACATGCAATAAAATCTTCACGGGTGCACCAGCGCTGCGTTCTGTGAAACTCACTGGAATTCCGCTTACAACAAATAGTCTAGGGCTCCGTTGGTCGTATTTGACACGCTACAACGTGGCTCAGGACCTTCCTGAGAAACATCTCCCGATTTTACGGCTCGCGAATGGGCTGGTAGAATGCACTATAAATTGTTCTCTACCTTGGCGTCAGGAACCACTGGGTTCTGACATAGTGCCTTTGAGAAAATTGCAGAGATTACAATTAGAGGGAACAGCCTCTGTTTTATTGCAGTACCTAGCCGCGCCGGCTCTTCTGTCGTTGAAGGTAGTCCTCCCAGAGACGGGCGATTCGTTGAAAACTTTCTTAAGCCGATCGCGATCTCAGCTACAGGAACTCGAAATTGAGGCTATTCCATTGGGAAATAACATTCTGGACGCTTTACTTAACGCGTCATACTTAAGGAGGCTTGCTCTCAATGTGTCGGTTCATCCGGGGCATCGACAGAGCATCGTGTTCAAAGACCTCCTCGTTGCTCTGAAATATGTTCCTAATGGTGGTGGTAGTACTTCAGGTTCTACTTCACAATGTAACATCCTTCCCCATCTGGGGGAACTAGCTCTCAGTGTGTACACTATATCGTCGCGGGAATATCTATATGCGGACGAACTTGTCGCGATGGTAGCCTCTCGTTCGAAAGTTCCGGGGAAGATGAAGGAACAAGTCCCAGTACAAGACCAGATACAAGAGCATGTGCAATTAAAGTCATTTACGTTGGAGACTAATAGTTATTGGCTCCCCCCTTTTGATGCTTTCGTGGAATTGAATCAGGAAGGATTGCAAACAAACATCCATTTGCACTGATTCAGGAATATGTTTTGCTGATGTTCGAACAAGATTGCTATTTGATGATGTCAAAATTCATACATGTAATATATCAACCAATGTCTCGCCAAAATCTAAAGTACAATCCATGTATTTTGGATACCAGTTGTACAACGTTGTACCTACAAATTGACACGTACATACAGTTTGTGGTTGAGTCAGGAAGAGATCTTGAATGCGCGGCGCTGTGATAGTATGTATGCATGTAGCAACTAAAAACTTTATTCAATCCTGGACCCCGAGCCTTGGGCTTGAAGCTTGAATTCTTGAGACCCCATTTTCCGGTCGAGAAAGCAAAAAGTCAAAAACAAGTGTCCCTGCCAGGAGTCGAGCCTGGGTCTCCACGGATGCGCTTAGCAAACCACAACGTGATGATCTAACCACTAATCTACGGGGACGTTTAATAATAGTAATAATCATGATATTACTTCGACGGTGTGATTAGTGAAGCGCGATTCCCCCGAGCTAACCCTCGAGCGTTAGACGGAGTGAACAGGAGGCGAACTGTGTACTTCCCCACGTTGGACAAAGCTATCGCTCTCAATTTATGTATGTATGCCATAAAATCTGACCATACTACTGTACATAGACAACCAACGAACTCTGGGTCCTCATTTCTTTGACTTGCGCTGCTTCGCTTTACTCTGAGTAGGTGTCGAACCTGACGCAGCTGCAGCTGCAGGTGCGCTTGTTCCTGGAATGTGTACTGCCTCCGCCTTCTGTGTCGCAGATGCCTGGGTTTTCAGTTGTTCCTTCTTCGGCGGTCGATGTAACAATTGAATGATAAACGAAGCCACACTTCCAGATAAGATGTACAAGATCCATCTCGGGACTTTGATTGTGATATTGTAGATTGTTGTTAAGACTAGACCGAGGTAGTGAAGGAGGTATTCACTGAGAGCGTAACGTTCGATGTGAGTTGAAGCGATAGGAAAGAATATGAGTACGCACTTGCTACCACCCGGAGCAAAAGAGCTATCCCAAGGAGGAACTTCGTTATAAGTTCCGTCTGTGAGGAATTCACGTAGAGCGCCTTCACGGAGCCGTAACCAATGAGGTTTCACAAATCGGAGAGTCTGTCCACGATTCTGCAGAATAATAAAGGTCGGCGCTCTGTAGCCAAAATGAGGTCAGCTATATCTCGAGGAGACGAATAAGCATGATAAAGTACACACTGCCATACACCCCACTTGGTTGTGAGATAGGTCACATTGAGATAATCTATACGACCCCAGCGCAGGTTAGGCATGTCTTCAGCTATGAGGGTTTCGTTGTATGTCTCGTCGAATATCTTGTCGACGAATTGAGACATTCCTCCCCCTTGGTTGGTTGCGCTTGTTGAACTAAAGAATATATCACAAGATAAGGGTACATTCACCGGTCAATGTATTGTAAAACAGACGAGGCACAACGTACACGACAATCAGCCATGTCCTATTCCCTTCCTCCTCCGGAGTGAGTTCCTCATTGACTACTATGTTATCATAGTTCACGTCTGTGATTAAAGGTATTCGCGGATCCCAGGGATACGCGGCCTTTGATGATAGACCAGCAGCTGAGGCAATGCTGGTGATGTTTACGCCGATTTTGGCGAATATAGAAGAGATCGAGGACGAGTCAAGCGATGAGCCTTGCTGACTTTGTGGCTCTTCACCGACGTGTCCTGATGCTACAGTCGGCACTGGTGCCAAAGGCTCGTTGGTGAAAGCCTGTCCCGGCTTCCAACCTTCGGAAAAGTATTGGCCGTTTGCGAAGGAAAACAAGCCCAGTAAGAGCCAGAAGATCATGGTGGAATCCAGGGGGTACGATGAAAGCGCTGAGATCGGAATACCCGCTGGGAGTTGTTTGGCAACAGTCGCCGTGTTGCCGATTATCAGATTGTGCTTTAGGGCATTGCAATGCAGCGGAATATCATTTTCTTCAACTATGCTTGCTCTAGACCTCTATATCATCAATGTCAACAATTACTAAGAATCAGAATATGCATCCCTCCGACAATTATAACAGCAAAACTTAACAGCCTTTTGAGCCTTGCACGTGACGTCTCATCTCACAACTTTTTTTGACAATGATATTTTGATAAGATTCGAAAACTTGTAATTCACATACACGCGCGCAATTTCTGTTTACTGTGACTCTGCTACTGTACATAAAGATGGATGACCGGACACGATTTCGTCGACGCTGCTGGGAGATAACATTGATTCAACTTCTGGCCGCTAGTAACGCATTACTTCTCGTCACTCGCTACACCTAGATTTCAAGTGCGGCCACTGGGGTATTAACGCGACGGTGTCCCTTGTCTTGTTCAAGATCGAAAAACTTGAGTTTGACATCTTTTCCAAAGATGAGCGCATGGGTCGAGCCACCGAAGCGGAACATTCCAAGCTCATCGCCGACGCTAACGCTCTGTCCTTCGCTGACAGTGACCTGACAAGTCGATACTTCTACCATCCCAACACCAACGAATATGAGGCATCCGACATCCTTGTTGTCAGCATCAATGTAAATGATGGCACGGGTAGCAGCTTGGGTCATCCATGGCTGGGAGCGGATGATAGCACCTCGAGGATCGCCAAGTTGGAAATCGGGGTCGGACTCTCCAGCCCCTTCATCAGGCAGCGCCGCATAGTATGATCCCTCAATAACGTCGATCTTGCGAATGGTACCATCCACCGGACTATGCCAGCGGTGATAATCATACGGAGAGAGGAACGCCTGATAGACAGTCCCACCAATGAAGGAATGGGCAAGTTCATCGTCACGGCGTGCAAGTATATCATAGATAGAATAGGCCTGACCCTTGAGCCAGAATTGGTCGTGTTCCTCGGCTCCGGTTGTTTTGCGAACCACGGTGGATTCACAAGCGTTATAGATGAAGAAATTGGGGGGGTCTGGCTTCTGAATAGGACGAGCATCGGGTTTAAATTTCCTGGTGAAGAAAGAATCCCAAGAGGTAAAGCCACGGTTGACTGCAGTCTCATCAGGACACTCGTAGGTTTCATTGAATATGCCGCGGTCATATTCGAGAGTCGCTAACCCGACTTCACCGAACCAGCCTTCAACACTATCATTGAGCGTATTGTTGGACTCAGGGCTCTGAAGGTAGTCGCCCCAAGAGTCAAGCAAGGCTTTCAAAGCAAAATTGAATCTGGCGTTGCGAAAGAGATCGTAACCCGCAGCGGTGTTGCTGAGAAGGTCGAGCAGAAGATACAAGGGGACGCCGATGGGCTCGCCACCAGTGACTGCGCCCCGTTCGTTTCGGACCACCTGAAATTTAGGCGCAGCGACGACAATTTCATCCAGGCAACAAAGCAGCTCTTCCAAGTCTCGAATCTGGAGTGTATATCAGAATGCGAAATAATGGCGACAAAAATATATGATTACTCTGTTTTCGGGCGCAGCTTGTAGGAAGGTTCGTTCGAACAAGTCAAGCAATTCGGGATCAGATTTGAGGGCAGTTTCGAAGTCCTGGACAGCGGGAACATGATCCTTCTTTGTATCGATGGCACGCAGAAGATCATCAAAGAACGCCTCATAAACCGCAGGATCAGCAGGAAGCCATCCGCCGTAGCGAGTCAAAACTGTGTTCTTGGAGGGAAGAGGGCGTGGATATTGAGGAGGCATCGTTCTGGACAATGATCAAAGGAGGCTCATAGAATACCACGATGAATACGTACAGCTCGATAGTGTGTTCTTCGATTTGAGATGAGTGGGCTCTGACGGTCAATGTAAAAAGTCGACTCGCTTTTATAGAGAAAAGCTGAGCTGGTCACTCTGAAGAAAGTCCTAACACAGATGGATAGATAGTGATTATTCGGTTTGGTGGCCGATTGGAATAATCGCTCAGAAAACTTTGTTCAAGGTCAGAAAGTTATGCTTCTTCATATCGATGTTGGGACAGCATCGATACTTATCCGAATAGTTTAACGTACGCTCTCTAAAGCAAGATGTGAGAAATCAGAAGTGGTACACCCAAAAAGTGACCTAACTTACAATCAAGTATCCTCCTGAATTTTCAGTGAGCGAGCGATATTTCCTTGGTCCGTTGATACAAATGGAAGCAAGACTTTCCTGCATTGAGGCCAAACCGGATCGTAACTCACACTATTTTCTGCAAAAAAGTGGGTGCTGTCAATTACATTTGGCCATAAAATGTATCGTTGCAGGTCATATAGAGTGGGTCAAGCGAGGGATTAAAATCAGCTTGGGCCGGCGTAGAGCCACTTAAATTATCCTACATGACGCGATATGAGCTTACTTGTACGATTACATCACTACCAAATCCCATTGATTACTGATCCACCTGACCCCCATCATCGATTACCGATCCACCTATTACCCTTCTCCCTCTACTGGCTTCCGCCACCTTCCTTGTTCCTAAACTGTACAGTATTACATCGTCATTTCTCGCAGATCGGATTATGTATATAAAGCCAACCCCTCACAGCCTGGTCCCTTATCTTGACCTCTCTGTCATTATCTTGGGACCAGGTATGTGCTTACTTATTGTTACCTATGACTACGATACTCAATATATCTCTGTCATTATCTTGGGACCAGTCTGCCTCTGCTCTGCTTAGTTGCTCCGCATTCACCAATCTGCTTAGTCGCCCCACTGCTCTGCTCCGCTTAGTCACTCTGCCGCTGCCGCTTTGTGACACCTATAGTCATTGATTCTGCTGAAGACTGCCATTAAGTTGCTGGCCCAGATATGGGACACCAAACCTTGCCACACATCGATCTATTTCAGCTGAAAGACAGTGCACTTCACATACCGTATGACCTGACAGTGCTGACAGTGTTATCAAGCTCCTTTCATCTCCAAACACCCCCATGTACAGGGACACTATCAAGCCCATGCCTCGGGCCTCCATCTCGCCGCTCGGTATTCCGAAGATCCACTGTTTATTGTAATCTCACTCTTATTGTTCTTTCTCACCACACATACCCTTTCATTCTAGTTCCTCCTTATTGTCTTTTACTTTACCCTGCAGGTACTACACGTATAGCTCCTAGTAGTTAGTCTGGCGCTCCACACCGCTGCGCCGTTCCGTAGATATAAATACTGCTTGTACGCTACTGTAGTTCCTCAGTTTAATTATCGACTTAGATTCCCTTTCTATCTCAGTCCATCTCTTAAGTCTTCAGGCTCATTACCTCGAAGCACTCTTTATAGCCTTTGGACTTATAAGTTCTCTGGCTCGCTCCTCGTCATCGGCGTTACTGCCGCTCCGACTTGGCTGCTACTAGTTACTCTCTTCTATACTCCCGATCTCCGGGGACTAACGGCGTAATGGGGGTGTTGTTAATAACTTCACTACTGTCCCATTCGACTCCCACACTTAGACACCCTGTGACCTCTGGCACGGTTACCCGGTGTACATGATCTTAACAG